AGCCAAAGTCGGATGCTTAACCAACTGAGCCACCCAGGCGCCACTCAAAAGTATTTTCTTAAAAGCTGCTATTACTGTGAAAAAAGGGTTAAAAGCACATTGTTAAATGTAAGATAAAATAATTGTTAGAAATTTCATTTTTTTCCCTCTATTTTGATTGTACACAGAGACAAGAGTTTTGATTCTAAATATACTATGTATAGAAGCTTTTATATTTTATTTTCTATTTTATAGGCCTTATTTTTTCCATGTTTCAAATTTTGTTGGTGCCTAGAAGATGAACTAAAAAGACAGTGAGATAAACCTGTGAGGTATCTGATTAAACTAGTTTATTTAATTTTTTCCAAAAAGGAAATTATGGATTAAAGGATGTCTTCTTACTCATTCCATCCAGTTATGCAGGAGTAAATAAGTTTCTTTGCCTTTTAACCCTGTTGTGTAAAAACGTTGTCTTTTTAAATTGATGTTTTTATTTAAAAAAGTAATATATATACTTATGGTATTATATATACTTATGGTTAAAATTCAACAATATATATACAACTGTACCAGCATTTTTATATGTATATATACATATATGTATATATGCATCATAACTTTATATTATTAATTTCTTATACATAAACCTTTAGATTGTTTCTAGTCTTTCATGATTATGAACAATATTGGGAAAAGTATCCTGGTAGGTACATCTTTGTTTACATGTGTGAATATGCCTGTAAGATATATACATATATAGAGAGAGGAATTGTTGGGTCAGAGGCATTTGAAATTTGATGTTATCACGTAGTCTTTTAAAAGGCTTAAATAATGTAAGTCACCAGGAAACTAGAAGTACCTTTTTCCCAATATCACATTCAGTACCAATAGCCAAAAATATTTTATCAGATTTTTCTGATCATTGTCATCATGGTGGTAAAAGTGGCAACTCCAGTGGTTTGCCCATCTTTCTATCAGATTATTGATATTTTTTTCATTGGTTTATAAGAGCTCTTTATATATTAAGGAACCTATTTTTAGCCAACTGAGTTGAAATGCTATTTTTATTATATACTGAACTCTTATCTATATTTGGGCCTATTTCTGGACTTTGTGTTCTATTCCATTGCTCTGCTTACTGCTGCAATTGTATCAAACAATTTTAAATACTATGATATTATATAAGTCAGTTATGGTATAGCTCAAGATTCCCTCATTAATGTTCTTTCTAGAATTTTCCTGGCAAGGTTTTAACATTGTGTGTGTGAACTTTACTGAAAAGAGCTCTATATTTTTTATTTTATAACTATGTTTACAGTTCAGAAAGAATTGATACCTTACATTTTTAGTCTTTGTCTCTAAGAATATATTCCATTTATTCAAATCAATTTTTATGTCCTCTAGTGTTTTAAAGTTTTCTTTTTGGGGGCACCTGGGTGGTTCAGTCGGTTAAGCATCCGACTTCAGCTCATGTCATGATCTCGCTGTTTGTGAGTTTGAGCCCTGCATCGGCCTCTGTGCTGACAGCTTCGAGCCTGGAGCCTGCTTTGGATTCTGTGTTTCCCTCTGTCTCTGCCCCTCCTCTGCTCGCACTCAGTCTCTGTCTCTCAAAAATAAACATTTAAAAAAAATTTTTTTTAATCTCTCTTTTTGTAGAATATATGTATTTCTTATGAAATTTACAGTATCCTATATTCAACACAGTTTACTCAGCAGAATAGCCAGAATCTTATTACAGGTTATCCCTCCACTTAAAATAAAAGCCACAGGCCTTATTTACAATGACTTTTATAGCCTTACACTTGCAGTCCTTTACCTTTCAGTTCTAATCTCCTACTATCTCATTTGCTTACTATGTATGTTCCAGTCACATTGACCTTCTCACAATTCCTTGAAAATACTATGCATGTTCTCATCTCAAGGCACTTGCCCTTATTCCCCCCACCTAGAATGCTTTCCCCCAAACATCTGCATGGCTTGTTCCCTTAATTTTCCTTTGACTGCATTATTGCAATAGCATTCTAATGGGTATTAGGAATACTTGCTTCTGCCCTTACCTCCTAAATCCCTACATTCAAAAGAAATATTAGTTTGGACAAAAGTGGTAGCAAGGGAAGAGGTGAGAAGAGATCACATTGTGGATTTGACAGTATAGCTGACAGGATTTGCTGATGGATTGGATGTGAAGAGAGAAGATTAAGATGAATCTAAGCCTTTATGGAAGATATGAAAGAAACTGCATGAGAAGATTTAAGGGGAATAAAATCAAGTTCGGTTTTGGTTACATTAAGGTTGAGAGGGCTGTTAGGCAGTAGGCAGTTATACACATCAAAGTCCAGACTTCAGGGGAAAGAACGATGTATCTAATTAGTATTATATAGATGCCAATGAAAGCCCTGAGACTGGGTGAGATCACTACGGGAATGTAGATAGAGAAGAAGTTCCAAAACAACCCTGATGCACTCCAACATGTAGAGGGTGGGGAGATGAGGAATTAGCAGAAAAGATCGAAAAGAATGGCCAATGGGATAGGAAAAAAATCAGGGTGGCTTGTTTGAGAAGTCAAGTGAAGGAAGTGTTTGAAGAAGCAGGGAATGATCCTACAAAGGCTGATAATAGGTCAAATAAGACAAGGGCTGAGAATTAACATTAGGTTAGGAACATGAGGTTATTGGTGTCCTTGACAAACAGAAGGCAAAGGATAAGCCTAATTGCTCAGCATTCAGGGAAAAATGGGAAGAGAGGAATGTGAACAGCAAGAATAGATAATTGCAGGAATTATGCTTTGAAGGGGAAAACAGAAATGACAGCTGGAGGGGAAATTAGGGTTATTAGGGGGGATTTTGTTTGTTTTCTAAAGTCTAGCATATTTGCTGTCTGGGCAATTCCAGGAGAACAGAGGAAATTGATATTATGCCAGAAATGGATAGTATGGTCTATTCTCTTTGTTGAGTTTATTATATTTATTATTAACCCATTGACTTTGAGAGTTGATATGTCATCTCTTTCATTACTACATTTCTTCCTTGAGTCCTTTTATCTCTTCTTTGTATTCATTTCAGAAATGTCATATTCTCATTGAGTTCATGGAGAATTAATCATGTTCATTTGCTTCATGCAGTGATTTTCGTTTTGTTTTTTTTTTAATGTTTTATTTATTTTTGAGAGAGACAGAGCGTGAGTGGGGAAGGGGCAGAGAGAGAGGAAGACACAGAATCTGAAGCCATCTCCAGGCCCTGAGCTGTCAGCACAGAGCCCGACATGGGACTCAAACCCACAAACAGTGAGATCATGACCTGAGCCAAAGCCAGACACTTAACTGATTGAGCCACCTAGGTGCCCCCATGGAGTGATTTTCATGCTGTGTTCTTCATATGACTTTTGGTTTATAATGTTGCTTTTTTTCCCCTTGTGACATCTTTATGTTAAAAAACCTACAATAGTTCCTTTTTGATTATAGGTCATCTTTGAATTAGAAGTATTCTTCTTAGATCAGCTATTTGCCCAACAGTGAAGTTGTGGGAGAGGAACCTGGGTAGTGGTTGGGAAAGACAGATAGCTTAAATTTTCCCAGTTGTCTTAGAATACTTTCTTACCAACACTTTTCTCTGGTGGTATGACTACTCAATGGAGTAGGAAGCAGAGCCCCCCCCACCCCATGTCACAGGTTTTTCTCATTTAGATTGATGAACACCTCATGCATGTTAGAATCACCCAGAGGAAGCTAAGCTAAACCAATTAAGTGAGAATCACTGGGGGTGAGACTTAATATTTAAGTTTTTTTTTTTTTATTTTTGAGAGAGAGACAGACAGAGAGACAGAGCACAAGCAGGGGAGGAGCAGAGAGAGAAGGAGACACTGAATCTGAAACAGGCTCCTGGCTCCGAGGTGTCAACACAGAGCCTGATGCAGGACTTGAACTCATGAATCCTGAGATAATGACCTGAGCTGAAGTTGAATGCTTACCCAACTGAGGCACCCAGATGCCCCTATATATGTATTTGAAGCCTCTCCGGTGATCTTTAGGTATAGCCAGTCTTGGAGAATTAGTGGTTAAGGTTTTATTTTTAACTAAGATCAGATACTTGGCTTCATACTTCACCTTACTATCATATAGCCTGTTTCTTGCAAAAATATCATGTGTGGGCATTCACATTTTCCCTGATATGCCCTACCTCATCCCACAGCCCACTCATATTTCCTGATCAGCATACTATTTAAAGGCTTATTAGTTTTATCTTAGGCACACCATCTTTCTTTGGAGAACTCTGAAGTGTACCCATTCTGCCTGATTTTTGCAGTCAGGCATCTTGTGTTCTAGCTTGTCTGGTTCCATTTTTTTTTTTTTTTTTAATTTACTGTGGAATATAATACACATATAGAAAATGCATAAAATGTAAATACACATTCATGTAACCACCATTAGGTCAAGAAACTGAACCTATGCTAGGATCTCAAAAGCCCTGTGATGCCCCTTCCCAATCACAGACACTCTTTCTCCTTTTATAAAGGTAACCACTATTCTGACTTATTTGGTAATTATTTCTTTAGTTTTCATTCTTCTCATATTTACGGTTGTTTCCTAGTTTCATCAAATGAGGTGTTCTCTATTATCAGAAGAGAGGGATAGAAATGCCTTTATTCTTCCATGTTTGGAGGTAGAGGACTATTCATTTTAAGGGATCAGAAAATCAAATACATATTTGAATCCATTAAATGCCTTATATTCGTCTCATTTTTAAAGGGGTGCCTGGGTGACTAAGTCAGTTGAGCATCTGACTTCAGCTGAAGTCATAATCTCACAGTTCATGAGTTAGAGCCCATGTTGGGCTCTCTGCTATCAGTGTGGAGCCTACTTGGGATCCTCTGCCTCTCTCTTTCTCTCTCTCTGCCTCTTCCCCTCCTGCATGTGCACACACTCTGTCTCTCAAAAATAAATACTAAACAAATAACTTCTCCAAAATACAGTATTAAGGTGAAATGGGGAGAAAGGAGTAATAAGTTACATTAAAAAAATAATAAAATATTCTACAAAAACATTTTATCTTTATTGAACTTTATTTCATTTTATTCTTAGTCATTTTATGAGATTGCTTGTTTGGGTTTGTGGTGTGTGTGTGTGTGTGTGTGTGTGTGTGTGTGT